CAACATTTCTGTTTCTCGAGCTAGGATGCTGAAATTTGGTAGGCGGGTGGCTAATTTACAAAAGCTCCAGATCGCAGCACCCTATGAGAAATTCGCGGTACACAGCGCCCGCCGCTAGCCCCATTGGCTAGCCCGCCTGTCTGCACTGAGGCGGGTGCTCCCATTGTTTATCTTAAGGCTCGCGAAGTGCGCGGTCCGTGCGCTAACCCTAACGGCCTATGCAACCCTTACAGTGCGTTAGAGTGAAAAAACCGAGACAATAATGTCGAAATTTTTGACTATTAATGGTCGGAGAGCCGAGATTTATTGTGTAAGGGAGGGTGGGGAACCATGACTACTGGGGTACCATGACCACCCCCCTCGCTCTCGGGAACTACTTACCGGACGGCAACCGGTCGACCGGACTTTCGAGAGAATAGGATTCTAACTATTTTCAGCCAGAGCCCTACCTTCTAGCTTCAAGGGTACAACCATAGCACCTCGCCAAAAACCGAAAATTCCGACATGCACAACTCTTATCGTTACAAACGAAAACTATGCAGCAACTACTCCGTTGCGCGGGGAAGCGTTGCGCTGCGCGGTACTGTTTTTCTCCTTTTAGACGATGTTTGGGAGACCTTGCAACTGAAAGGGGCAGGTAGGTGCAGTTCCTTGGCATGTTGGCTTCCGCAAGGACTGAGGGAGGCCGTTAAACAACGTTAAACAAAAAAGTGCCGCCTCTGCAAAGGTTTAATTTTAACACTTTTGTAAGAGTGTAGTAAAAATGAAGCTATACACCACAAAAATCGTCCAAAATCAAAAGTAAATGTGTACAAATGTTCAAGAAGAAACGCCCTTTCACGAGGTGTCAATAAAAAGTTCGCTGCACAAAAATTCATAAGTATTTTTTGCGTTTGAAATCATGCATATTTACTGCACCAAAGTGGTGCAAATCGTTTGGTGCGTGTTTGACCACCTGTATGTTTGCCTCAATGTGTCCCTGTGTTAAAATTCTGTCCAATCTTGGTTCCTTGGAGTATTGGGAAGAGATGTCATGAAAAAAACTTAAAGATTTGAGAGGTGGAAAAATGGAATTATGTCCGCCTAAACCGGCTTCGTGGCCCACTGTGCGTCGCGCGCCGAGACGCGTATGGTGGGCTGTCTACCTGGTCGGCGCGAGGGACTTCCCAGGCGGCGGCGGCGGCCGCTCCTTGAGTGCTGCACCATTTTCGCGTCGCTCGTACGGGCCCGGGCGTCATCACAGCAAGCTGAAACTTTAGGGGCTTCAAGATAAGGGTTGTGCCGAGACGGGGCTTTTTGGGTTTTGTTGCTACCCCTCCTCAGTTTGGCGTTCTTAAGGGTGGAACTGAGGGGTTGTTTTCGCTGATTTTGACCGTTTTTTTGGCCCTGAAGAATCCCTATGGTTTTAAAGGGACGGTCCCTTTCCGAAGGGGCCAAGCCCTATCCGAGAAAGGGCTTGGCCCCTTGGAAGGGGCTCAGCCCTATCTGCCATAGGGCCGGGCCCTATCAAGTTAGGGACCGGCCCAATGGACTTGGGGACCGGCCCTATGGACTTGGGGACCGGCCCTATGAGCTTAGGGATTGGCCCTTTGGACTTGGGGATCCGCCCTCCAGACCACAAGGCCCTATAAATCAGCCTGCCAGTTAGGCAAAATGTGGGTGATTTAGGTAGGCAAACCCGCTACACACCTATTAAGGGTATCTTGTAAACGGCTTAAGATAGAGTGTCGGCGTCACTACCATTGTTATCAGCGTCAAAAGTTCACTCAGGAAGCGTTTCTTATATTGTACATTGATGTTCAAGAGGCAGATGTTTGAACACTTGAACACTCCGCGGCACGTCCCTTACCAAAGGGATATTTCGCGGCCCTTTGACAAGGGGACTGTCCCTATCCATAGGGGCTGGCCCTTCAATGGGGACCGTCCCTATACCAAGGGGCCGCGAAATATCCCTTTAGTTAGGGACGTTAGGGATTTTTTCCCTTGGGATATAAACGGTGCATCGGATCGATTTGAAACTTTCAGGGGTGGTTCAGGCGACTCTTTTTGATCGAGGTCGGTTTTGAACGACGTTCGTACCCTTACCGAGCGACCATGGGGCGCTACGGGGTGCACGCCCCCACCACGGGGCATGAAGATGATCAACACTGGATTTTTTAGCAGATGATACCTTTACTTAAAAACATACCTAAAACTATAACTACAAGACACATAAAGGTGTCAGCTAGCTTTTACTCGAGAGTCCAAAAACCAAGTGCGTATCCTAACAATATAAGATGGGCTGGCTGCCGGGGCGGGATGGTGCGTTCTGCCCGGCGCAGCCTGCGCGGAATTCGACAATCACTCCCCGGGCCGGGCGTAAACAATGGCACCCCCTCCTCGCGCGCGACGGCCTGCGCGCAGCATTGACAATCCCTCCCCGCCTACAGCGCAGAGGCACCGGGTGCTCGCAATCCAACGGGCACGGCGCGGCGGTGCAGCCCACGTCACAAAGGAAAGGACTCAGGTTTTAAATACTATCTTTGGAATGAGCCCATACTACCCCGCAGAAGAAAACCAAACGAGTATCATCTGCTTTCATTAACGTTCGTTGAATGAGATTTTTTCATCCGACCCAGTCTTAAAAAACCATGGAGCATCCCATGAGCCATGGGATGCCATGGGACACCATAGGCCGATTTTCCCCATGGGGAAGATTTCCCATTAATTTTTTGCACGACTTCCCATAGTGTTGAGCAACCCATGAGGAGATGCCCCATGGTGTGTCTCCCATGGGAGCACTTCTCTGCCATGACAGAGTGACTAGAAAGAAAATTGTCTGAATAAGTGCCTCCGTCGGCGAGGAGCATGAAGCAGTATAATGTCCGCTAAAGCAGATTTTGTCTACAAGTCACCGTTGACATGATTGGCTGAGCGATAGCGAAGCCTGTTACTCCAGTGGGGTTGAAAAGTTTTGTCTGTCTGCGCGTGTGTGTGTGTGTGTGTGCACTACTCCTCCAAAACGGCTCAAACGATCTGGCTGAGATTTTGCAGGCTCCATAGGTATGTTCTTGGCTCGGCACACGCGAAATTTCAGTATCCTAGCTCAACTGGTTCAGTTTTTACAGCCGAAAAACACCTAAAAAACGGCGAAAAATCGAGTTTTCTCCAGGCAGATCACTTCTGTCTTGAAGAAAGCGGGGTCTGGGGGGCGGCCCCCCAACCTGGACAACTGAAAAAGTTACAAGGGTCAAGATCGAGTTATCTGTAGTTGAAGCAACTCTATCTAGAATAAAGGGGGGTCTGGGGGGCGGAGCCCCCAAGCACGCAACAAGTTAGACGTAACCGACGACGGGCAAGCCATTGCCTGCCGAAGGCAGGCAGCGCCGCAGGCCAAGGTAGGTACGCCAGGCGCGGATCGGAGGAACAGGCCGCGAGACATCGCAAAGCCTGTTACGACAAGACGCGGTCTGGCGTAAACCTACCTTGTTGGCTGAGCGACAGCGAAGCCTGTTACTCCAGTGCGATTGAAAAGTTTTTTCTGTCTGTCTGTGTGCGTGTCTGTCTGTGTGTGTGTGTACACTACTCCTCCTGAACGACTCGGCCGATCTGGCTGAGATTTTGCAGGCTTATTAGGTATGTTCTTGGCTCGGCACACGCGAAATTTCTGGTGTTGGAGACGTCCGGTGGGAAATTTGGATATAAGAGTCGTGCGGTAGTCGCTGAGAAACCAAGGGCGGATCCAGAGACGGGTTCTAGGGGGGGGGGCGATGACGCGGAAGTTGCCTACCCACAGGGGTAATGTGCGACTTATTGCCGACCTTTCAGGCGGTTTCGCCGCCTTCACGGGGCGAGGAAGGGGCGACTTCCCCCCCCCCTCCTGGATCCACGCCTGTGACAAACGTGAGTGATTACATACAGACAGACGCACAACCAACCACTTTTCGGTGCGCAACACGGCATGGGCTTTGCTATCGCTCAGCCAACAACATTCTCGTTGGCTGAGCGGTAGCGAAACCCGTTACTCCAATGGGGTTAAAAAACTTTTTCTGTCTGTGTGTGTGTGCGTGTCTGTGTGCACTACTCCTCGTGAACGGCTTGGCTGAGATTTTGAAGGGTCATTAGGTATGTCCTTGGCTCGCCACACACCAAAATTCAGCTTTCTACCTCAATCCATTCGGTCATAATAGCCAAAAAACACTTAAAAAACGTCAAAAAAGACAACTTTTTTGGTACTTTCAACTTTTTGACAAGTTCCATATCGTTTCCTATGTTTTGAAGGGTGCTGATGACGAAAATAGAACCCATTCTGACCACCGGCTTAAAGTTAAGTCCCATTAGTGAAGATTTTGATCACCAAATTCTGATTTTTGTGGGTATCACGCTTGTTCCAACGGTTTGACTAGGAAAGCAGCCTGCAGAAGGCAGGTCAGCGCCGCAGGCCAAGGCAGGTGTATACGCCAGGCGTGGATTGTCGAAACTAGCGCAGCATCGCGAAGCCTGTTACAAGACACGGTCTGGCGTATACCTACCTTGTTATTGGTTGTTTTTAGTTCTACTCTGAAATCGAAAGTGTGGTGCATTTACCTCATTTAGCTGTGGTGAGACCTAAAATGTGGTAACCTCATCCTACCTCAGGTACAAACGTGGCAAGAATTACACCCCTTAAAAACATTGGTGAACTATCAGGTAATTTAGCCGTTACCTCATGTATTGCGTGGTCAAGACCACCCTTTTTTAGAGGTAGAGAGGACTGATCACATCTTTGCTGTGGTATCTACCATGGCTTTTATTTGGCACTATGGTGACCACTGATTTAAAGTGGTATTGACCGCATTTCCACGTGTGGTAAATTTGGGTAACCACAGTTTTACGCCTACCACACATTATCTGTGCCCTGTATCTCACTTCGAAAGACAGTGTATGGATGTTTATCAATGCAGTCAACTTCACGCAAAACATGTGTGTTCTTGAGGCAGTCACTACTGTACCTCTGATTGGAGACCACCTGCTAACACCACTACTCATTGTAGTTTGCAGATAGTATATAAACCGAAACTTGAGGAGAACGATCAGTGTGTCAGCACAATGGCTCGTCTCAGCGCCCTTCTCTTCGCAGCCGCCGTCGCCCTGGCCCTGGTGAGTTAGTTTTATGTGTTGTATTGCAAAATTTAATGTTCGCAATTAACGACGGATCCTTACGCAGTAAAACTGCCAACGGTTCCTCCGTTAATTTACGAAACTCTTCGTACATATTACCAAAACCTTCGTACATTTTTTGAAGGACCTCTGCCGAGTTAACAATCACAATGGAAATTTACGAAGCATTATCGTTAAACGACAATGATCCTTCGTAAATTTACAGGGAACCTTCGTAAATAAACAACGAACCTTCGTTGATATCAAAAGAACCTTTAGGTCTGGAATAAACGACTGATCCTTCGGCGAAAAGATTGCCACCAGTTCCTTTGTTTATTAACGAAGGCCCGTCGTAGATAAAAGAAGGCCCGTCGTAGATTCGCAAAGGTCTATCGTAGATTTACGAAGGCCCGTCGTAGGTAAACGAAGCCCGCCGTTAATTTACGAAGGCCTTCGTATCATAACATCAAACTTTGCAAATTGACTATTTTTTTTTTCGAAAATTTCCAATGAACAATAAACGATGAATTTCCTTGATTTAGACAAGTTCCTGTTGGAAAGAAACATTTTTACTGCACTTTTGAACATTTCCAAAAACCTTGGAAAACATTCCGTCGTAAAGTCGCTACATATTATGTACAGTGTGTGCCTGGTCAGACAGTGGAGTCGTGTTAGTTTTTCCATTCACTTTGAGGAATTGTAAATCCTTCTGTGGGTGTGGAAACACAAACAATGGTTGCCCATGCACTGAAATCGAAAGTGTAGTTAATTTACCTCATGGCTGTGGCGATACCTAAAATGCGGTTACCTCATTCTGTCCCACGTACAAATGTGGCAAGAAATACACCCCCCTTAAAATGTCGTGTTTTTAATGCAGCCGTTACCTTATGCATTGCGTGGTCAAGACCATTCTCTTAAGAGGTATAGAGGACTGACCACGTATTATCTGCTGTTGTGTTCTCCATTGATGCTGACCCCTGATTAAAAGGGGTATTGACCGCCTTTCCACGTGTGGTTATTTCCGATGACCCAAATTACTAATTTGGGTAAAACATGGGTAACCATAGTATTGCGCTTTCCGCACATCATCTGTAGTCTGTACCACACTTCACTGTGCTGTTTCCGTTTGATAGCCTTGCTAGTCTAAGCCAGACAACTAAAGTAAGTTTTTGTATTTGTGCTGACACAGGTTTGTGGCACCACTAGTGCGCCCGCCAGCGAGGAGACCGGTAAGTGCTTCAAATTCCATTTACTGGAAGCACACTGAAACCGTAATGGTCGGACACATGGCCAAACTATGGCGTGACTAAAAGTCACGCAAAACGCTGGCGTGACACGAAATTAACGCCGATATATGGCACAACATTGTGAGTCACGCCGTCATTTGGCGTCAATGACAACGGGTTTGAGGAGGAAAGTCATGCCAAAAGCCGGCATGAAAAGAATTCACAACAAAACTTGCAGTGAATTTTCGATTCACGCTGATTCTTGGCGTGATTTTTTTGCCATGCCGCCTCTTGCCGTCACACTTTATTCACGCCCCTGCAATGGGACAAAGTTACGACGATAGATTTTGGGTGATAAAAGTCGTAATATTACGAACTATTCTTGTATCGTATTTTCACTCATAACATTTATAATTTTACGAATAATTTCACAACGAATGATTGAATGTTTTTATAAAAAGCTCATTACTGTATGAATGCTTCATTCGAAAAATGAATAGTTCATTAACATCAAAAGACAAATGTTTCATTCCCCAATTTTTACGTTACACCATCACAGTAGCCATTCTTAATTGTACGAATACTTCATAATGTTGTATGAATAATAAAAATAGCAGGAAAAGTAGCGATATACATCGGCAACTTTGGCCCGTCCCGTACATTGAGAAATGTACCGTAAACCGGGGTAACTTGAGACAGCAAGGGTAACTTGAGACACTTCTGCTTTTCCACCTTTTTGGAGCGGCCACCTGGCTCGGCACACTCGGAGGTCAAAACTACCCTAGCACTTTTTTCATACTTGTTTGGAAAGACGATTAAGCGTGTGAACGGCGGGTTAGGACCAAGCTGGTCAGTTCTATAACGATTTTCAATTTTAGTAAATTTAACAATTCTAGAGAAGTGTTACAAGTCTCCCGTGGTACTCGAAACACGTCTTGCTGAGACCCAAATGACTGTAGTACCTTTCAACCCTACAAGGTAGGTTTACGCCAGACCGCGTCTTGTCGTAACAGGCTTCGCGATGTCTCGCTGCCTGTTCCTCCAATCCACGCCTGGCGTACCTACCTTGGCCTGCGGCGCTAGCCTGCCTGCGGCAGGCAATGGCTTGTCCGTTGTCGGTTATTTTTCAACTTGTTGAATGCTTGGGGGCTCCGCCCCCCAGACCCCCCTACATTCTAAATAGAGTCGTTTTATCTACAGATAACACGATCTTGACCCTTGTGACTTTTTAACTTGTCGAGGCTGGGGGGCCCCGCCCCCCAGACCCCCCTTTCTCCAAGACAGAAGTGGTCTATCTGCAGAAATCTCTATTTTTCGCCGTTTTTTAGGTGTTTTTCGCCTATACAAACTGAACCAGTTGAGCTAGGATGGTGAAATTTCGCGTGTGCCGAGCCAAGGACATACCCAAGAAGTGTGCAAAATCTCAGCCAGATCGGCCGAGCCGTTCAGGAGGAGTAGTGCTGACAGACAGACACACAGACAGACAGACAGACAGACAAAACTTTTCAACCCCACCTGAGTAACGGGCTTCGCTATCGCTCAGCCAATTATTTCAACATTCTAAATGCAGCATTGGTTTTGAGGGAAACCCATCATTCATCGGGTAATACTGAATTTTATAGAAAATGGTAACTGTGCGGGGTAACTTGAGACACCAAATTTCATTGAATTTGACGGAAGTTGAGTGACGTACCTTGACACTGGCACCTCCTTGTACTACAGGGTGGTTTAAAGTAACGGACCTCTCCATTCTCAGATCAAAACCAAGCCGCATTTGATCGGGAATCACTTTTTTGACAGTGTAGAGGGTTCCAAGTGGATATGCAGCTTAAAGTTGAAGTGTTTTCTCAACTACACACGGACCAGGTGAGACATAATAAATCTTGAAGTCTCAAAAGATGGAGAATTTAATTACCTTTCCAACGAGCTAAATGTCATTGAAATCAGACAACTTATAGCCCAAGAACCGTCGATTTTTTGAAGAAAAACAACTGTAAAAATAGTTAAAGGATTTTGAGTGAATTTTAAATATTGACTAAGACTATATACCTTTGCAGGAATGGACTTGTGTACGTAGAAATAAAGAAAAATGTCTTAGCAGGTGTCAGGGTTGGATGTGAAATGAGAGAATCGCTGTACTTAGTTGACAGAGTTGGATGTGAAATGGGAGAATCGTTGCGCTTCTGAAGTGCCGTTATCCCTCAAATTACCAAATGTAACCTTGATAAAAAAATCTTAATATAAGGATCAAAAACCTTCTAATATATTCCACAAGTAGTATTTTTCATTGAAAAAAAGTTAAATGTCTCAGAAAATCAGTATGGACTGGCAAAATCCCCACTTCCGTGAAAAAGCAAAGTAAAAACTAGGTGTGTCTCAAGTTACGCCAAATGACGGGGTAACTTGAGACAACTTTAGAGGCCCATTACTCTCATTTTAGAAGACCCTCAAAAATTCATGGGGTCCAAACCGAATGTAATCATGTGAAATTAAACATAGTTGGGATTCGGGTTGGTGAGAGAAGTTTTGTGGACACTCGGTCCAAAAAACGTGAAATACTGTCTCAAGTTACCCCGGTTTACGGTACGAATTTCGCCTATGTTTAACCCTGATGTGAATTGAACCTAGTCTGGGGTCAATCAGATGTTATTTTCGTCATCAGCACCCTCAAAACCATCCGAAACAATGCAAAAACCCGAATAAAAAGAATGTTCAAAATATGCACCACTGGGATTTGAACCCGGGTCCGAACTTCTCCGATTCGCTTCAAACTGGCACTGTTGGTTTTGTCTTGTCGCCCTGATTCCAAAAATACCCCAACATGCACTTCTAGCTGTAACCGTTGCCGAAATCCTCCTCGACCCCATGTATACCACGATGCACCTGCAGCAGCGCCCCCGGGGCTCGGATCGGATTTGCTGCCACCGGGCGGTTCTTAGGATCACCTAAGGAGAATGCATACAAAATTTGGTCAAGATCGGACCAACGGACGGACGGACGCACAACAGGGATTATACTATATGCCCGTCCCTCCGTCATTTTTTTTTCAAAGTAAACGGGACGGGCCAAAAATTACAAATCATTCGTAAATTAATGAATGTTTCGTTAAGTTTTGAATCAACCATTCTTGTACAGTATTTTCCCAAAGAAAAATCGTAAATGTACTAACAATGAAACGATGTATGGTTATGATTGATACGTAACATCTTTATATCTTTCGGGCAATTTCAGCCATGTCTTTTTTTTTAACGAAAATACAAAAAGTTCTCAATTGTTTATTCGTAGAAGCATGAAACGAGCTATTCTTAATAATAACGAAGCATTCGTTGCCAAATTTGTCGTAAAATTGCGACAGCTTCTTTCAGTGTTGGAACAAAAAAAAATGACCTTTGATGTCACAGAGCTAAAAGTGTTTCTTTCTCTTGGCTACAGCCGTCCTGAACCACAACATCGGCTTCAGCATCGATGGTATCGCCAAGTGCCTGGCCGTACTGGGCCTTACTGGATGGGCCCAGTCCTTGTCGGAAATCCTCAAGGATTGCGTGCCACTCAGCGGCAGACCCTTGAGGTTCCAATTCTGCGTTTTGAACAAGGTTACCCAGCTCGGACCTCAGTTCGTCGAATGCGTCCGGAAGACACCCTAACCTGCGTCTCAGTTCTCATGAAGAATAAAGAGTGAAAACAAAACAACCCTGTCTCAAAATGTTTTTTGACCTGTAGTCCAGTCAAACGGTGTTTTCAGTTGGACAAAATTCGGAACAGTACCAAACATTGGGAATTGTAACAGGTAGCTCAGGAAGCCTCTCACCAAAATCCCTAAAAAATAGTGGGGATAATGAAACAAAAAAACCATAGAACGATGCAAATTGAGTTACAAGCAAGCCACTTTGCACACGTCTTCTATTGACCCAAATAGTCGATTTGGCCCGAAGCACACACCAAAATTTCCCTTAGGACTCAAATGCGGGGGCGTTAAAGGTTAAAAGTGTTCAAAATTTTCGAAGTTTCAATTTTGACAGTTAAAATCGTGCGACGAGTGGTTTCCGCATAATTCGAGGTCGGGGAATTCATTGGCGATGTCAGAACAACGATGAGGTCACCGGAAGTACCGGAAATGGCCGCCATTTTGGATAACGACGGCAAATTCTTCGGATTTCGAACGGCTCCGCAACCAGACGTGTTGGGTGTCGTTGCGATAGTTTCAGGGGTCTCTGAAGGCCACTGTGATGTCAAATTGAGAGTTTTTAGCAGAGAAATACAGAAAAACAGCTTCTCAGCTGTGAAAAATAAACCTGAACGATGCTGTGCTTTTCAGGATAAAGTGAAGGAAACGCAAGTTCTCTGCTTTGGTAAATTTAACATGTTTGATGCGCTGCAATGACGTCTGTTTAAATGAAAATATACTCTCATTTTGGGTCCAAAATTTATTTGTAACTGTCAGATCTCGATCTCAAAATCTTGAAAGTATGTGAAGAAATCAAGATAGCAAACTACGTCAAGAAGAACCCAATACGAAAAGTGAGTCAAGTACAATGACCCTGCAAGTTCTATTGCGTGCTTGGCACAATTTTGTGATGACGATCTTCGAAGGACACTTCCATGGGCACGAAGCAAAAATTTAGCTTTGCTTCAAAAAGTACCTTCACTGAGATTCCAAACGCTATGAATATAGCACATACGGTGCAATGCACTGAGATATCGCACCATACTCTACAAACTGAAGAAGTGTGTACTCAGTATGCATCTACAGATGCATACTTATAAGTACACACCTACAGATGCATTCCTAGCTGAGTACACATCAACAGATTCATACCTGTTAAGTATGCATCTGTAGGTGCATACTTGGCAAGTATGCATTAGTAGGTTTGTACTTGTCACTATAGAAATACCCAGTATCGAGTACACATCTACAGATGCATACTTGGCTGAGTACACATCTACAGATGCATACCTGTCAAGTATGCACCTGTAGATGTGTACTCAGCTAGGTATGCATCTGTAGGTGTGTACTTATAAGTATGCATGCATCTGTAGATGCATACTCGCGACGCTCGCTGGGGGCTTCGCTCCCAGACCCCTAAATGTCTGGGGCGCGTACCGGAGTAGTTTTAGTAAGTCCGTGGTGACCAAAGGCAAATTTTCTAAGGAAGTAAATGTACTGCTTTTTTGAAAGGTCTATTTAACAGCTTTTGACCATATAATTAAGCTACTTTTACTGCCCAAATAGATAGCTTGTATTGCATTGGCGACTTTGGCAGTCAATGGGTGCATACAAGGTCCGCAAAATATTAAAGACTGCTTAGACAAGGATAGAGGTGAATGGAAAAAACCGCAAGTCTCTACGACCACTCCTTGGCCCTAAACATTTCTCTGAGTCAGTGAGTCAGTCGGTCAGATTGGTGCTATATAGGTTCTTGATTTTGAGGACGTTTTCGGTGACGGGGACCCAATTGCGGCATAGTTTCGGAAATGTCTCGACTTGACCTATCGATATGGCGAATAAAAATTTTCAGTCGGCCGGTCCCCTTTTTTAAGATTGAGTGGATTTTGTTAAATTTAGGCCTATTTCATCGTTTTGAGGATGTTGCCGGTGATGAGGACCCGATTGCGGCACAGTTTCGGAAATGTCTCGACCTGACACTGTTAAAAATGAATGAAATTTAATGACGTATGTGTCATTATTTTTCATTAAACGTCATTAATTTTCATTACTTTTTCAATTTCATTACATGGTAATGAAAATTTCATTACATTGGTTATGAAATTTCATGACATCAGCCATGTAATGAAAGTTTCATTACATGGTGTGGGCTGTCATGAAATTTTAATTACGTGTCATTAAAGTTACCTTTTACATTTTTTAAAAAACGGGGGTTTTTACTCAGTTTTTAGTTTTATCTTATCGTGCCCTGCTTGGTGCACTTGTTGGGCTCTGTCCAACGTTTTCGCAAACACACGGTTCTTGCTGCACAACGCCTGTCAAAGACGGGGTAGACCGTCCCGCCAGACATTGGTACGAGGCGGGTGGCCTACTCTGCCCCGAGCACTTCCCCGCCCCTGCCTCCTCCACCTCCCCTCCAGCGACGAAGTTCGCAATTTTTCATAACACTCGCGGTGGCGCGGGGAGCGGGTGGGCGGGGTTGGGGGCGTGACAAGCGCAGGTTAGGTAGTCCAGGGCCAGGCCAGGCCACATGTTTCTGTCAAACAGCACACAACGGTGGACATCACAGCGGCAATGCTCTTGACTGAGCAGCAATGTCAGGTACGATTACTCGAATGGTCCATAATGCTGTCCTACCAGAAACTCAGTTTTGATCATTTGAAACTACTCTTATCTTGTATTGTTGACAGATATGGCAGATGGTGGCCCCAAGTTTAACTGCTAGTTTTGTGGCTTTGAAGGACCTTTCAACACCTTTTACAAGCATCAAGCGCAGGTTAGGTAGTCCAGGGCCAGGCCAGGCCGCATGTTTTATCAAACAGCACTCAACGGTGGACATCCCAGCGGCAATGCTCTTGACTGAGCAGCAATGTCAGGTACGATTACTTGAATGGTCCATAATGCTGTCCTACCAGAAACTCAGTTTTGATCATTTGAAACTACTCTTATCTTGTATTGTTGACAGATATGGCAGATGGTGGCCCCAAGTTCAACTGCCAGTTTTGTGGCTTTGAAGGACCTTTCAACACCTTTTACAAGCATCTTGTCCAATTTCACCGCCATGTTGCTGTTAATCTTCCCTGTGGTGTCCCCGGTTGTGACCGTGTGTTCAGTTCAGAGAGTGCTCTACGTACCCACATTCGATGCTTCCATGCAATCTCTGTGGCTAAGCCTCTTGACGATTCATCAGTTCCTCCAAATGCAGACGGCAAGTTTATCTGTACTGTTCCACACTGTCAGAAACAAGTTGACAGCACGGCTGAGCTAATGAGCCATATCAAGTTGCATTTGTCTGCTGGGTTTAAAGTGAAGTGTCCGTTTCCCAAGTGCACCAAGAAGTATTCTGTTCTGAGTTCATTCACAGGGCACGTAACTCGTACTCATAAGAATCAAAAGACACTTGTTCCATCTTGTGTTCCGTCTAGTCTACCCCAAGAGGAAAATGACTTTTTGTACGAGGATTCACATGTTGACAATGAAGATCTTTATCTTACTACGCATGAGGCAAATTTTAAGAATGACAAACAGCTTTGGCTGGACTCATTTGCTCAGTTTTACATGCGCTTGGAGTATGAACACTTGATACCTCAGGAAACTGTCCAAAATATCTGCGAAGAAATGAAGATGGTTCATGATGTTAATTTGGACTTTATATCCATGCGCTTGAAGTCCCGTCTTTCCTCTGAAGGCCTGGCAGCTGAGAAGGTGGATGAAATATTGAAGGATTGTCTACCTTCTCAATCAAGCAAACCGCTGTCTACATCATATTTAAGGAGGCAGTACTACATCAACAATTTTCTCTATGTTGCTCCTGTTCCAGTCAAGCTTCCGCCACCAAAGAAGTATCCTCACCTTAAACGGTATTTCTACTATGTTCCATTGAAAGAAACTTTACAAGCCTGTTTCAAAAGTAAGTCTATGAAGATCAACCTGGAACATGAGCCAAGTTATGACGATGTCATTCGAGATTTTACTGACGGTACTCTGTTCAAGGAGAATGAATTTTTCAAAGATAATCCTAAAGCATTACGCCTGATCCTCTTTCAGGATGCGTTTGAGGTAGTGTGTGCTATAGGCTACGCAAAGAAAAAGTATAAAATTCTTGGCATTTATGTAGCCATTGGCAATTTACCAGACTATTTGAGAAGCCGTGTGAAATCCTTCCAGCTTGTTGCCTTATGTAAAGATAGAGAACTCGACCACACTGCTGTCTTTGGGAAAATTGTTAAAGATTTGAAAGACTTGGAGACTAATGGAATTAATGTACCCGGTGTTGGAATAGTGAAAGCAGGACTTGCATTTATTGCTGGAGATAACCTTGGAAGCCACGCTGTTGGTGGATTTTATCAGAATTTCAGCAAATCTCGTTTCTTCTGCAGATTTTGTCAAGTGGATCGAAACATATTCACCACTCACAATGGCCCCTTCAGGACATATGAGCTCAGAACCCCTGCAAATTATGCTGAATGTCTGAAAGGAAAGAAGATCACCACTAAAAAAGGTGTCAAGTTCAATAGCGAGTTCAATAAGTTGTCGTCCTTTCATGTCTGTAAGCCAGGTCTTGCACCATGCTTGGCTCATGATGCATTTGAGGGTTTTATCAAGTATGATGCGATGCTGTTCATTAAGCATTTTGTTGCCCGTGGATGGTTTACTATTGAAGAGCTGAATGCTAAAATTGACTCATTTCCTTACTCTGAAATCCATCGAAGAGATAAACCCCAGCCAATTCAAGAGGATTCTGACAAACTCAAAGGGAAAGCTTGGTGTATCTGCAATTTTATTTTACTCTTCCCACTCATTGCTGAAGAATTCATTAAGGATGTGGATGATCCAGTGTGGAAGTGTTTTCTCATTCTCATAGAAACTGTGGAACTTTTATGTTCTCCTGAATTTCATATATCATTCGTTCCTTATATTAGGGATCTTTTCTATGAGTACATTGCTCTTCGCATGCAGTGCTTTCCACATGTTCCTCTGCGACCAAAGCACCACTACAGTCTTCACAATTACCTATATCTACTTATCTTTGGACCAATGCTGAAGTCTTGGACACTTCGTTTTGAATCAAAGCACTCCTTTTTTTGTCGTGCCGCCAAAGCCTGCAAGCAATTCAAGAACATTTTGTTTTCGCTTGCTGTGCGACATGAATTACATCAAGCATATGTTCGTACTGGCTCAGCAAAGTTTGCTGTGTTACAGTTTAAGAAGACAAGAGAATATTTGTGTGAATCTTATTCAACTGAAATTCAGAATGCTATTAGAGCTGCAGGTCTTGATTTTGCTCTAAATGTTTGTATGAAAGTCATTTTCAAAGGCACCAAATTTTGTAAGGGTCAAATGATTGCATTGGAGCAATCATGTTACCAGGTTGACCTTGTATTTGGAAGAATCAATTTTATTCTATTGACTCCTGATGAGAAACTGTTCTTCCTAGTGGAGGTGTACAAATCTCAGTTCAAGCCTCACATCAGAGCATACAGTCTGTTATTCAACACTGATCCTCAGTACAAATGTGTCAGTTATGATAGCTTGCTCTCCTATTACCCTTTGCATAACTATGTTGTTCATGGACAAAGTTATGTCAAATTGAAGCATGCTCTGGTCAGTAAATCCAATAACTTTGCTTCATGAACTTTTCTGTTTGTAATAGGTGTACTGGCCTGAAATGTTTTAGCTCCAATTTTAATAATGTTTGTTATGGCACTGTCGATTTTAAATATTTTGTTCAGACCAATATGCAAGTGCAGTAATTAGATTTTTATATATAAATGTGTATTTTGTAAGCTTTTTTACTATCCTGTGCATGTGTAACTGTTTATTAACTTGACCTAATAATTAAAGAAAAGATGCTTTTATTTGTGTGTTTTATTTAAATCACCCCTGACATGGGAGATGGATAGCTGCTTCAATTTCAGAAATCAAGCCATCAGGCTCAGGAATAGACAGTTTGTCTTTAGTGAGACCAGTACGTATCTCTCACATTCTTTGAAATTTTGTAGAACATGTGGCAAGAGTAAGTTCCTCTGAAAATATTTAAAATTGGAAACTTATAGTCTGTTTGGATAATACTGTGAGATGGTGATTTCAATGCTGCCGCTGACAGTTATTTTCCTAGGTTAAACTGTGTAGCAAGTTTATTTATGACATTGGGGAAGTAAAATGTAGAGACATTTGCTTGACTTTTAATTACTTGTCCGCTCTACTTAAGTTTTGTAAGTTTAAAGTAAAAGAAAAACAAAGCCAGTTTTTTAAGTCTTATTGAAATTTGCACTAACAGTTGTAAATGAAGGGCTGCGTTTTTAAAAGATTGAGCTCTGCATCAAGCGGTACCTTCCCCAATGGAAATGGTAATGTTTTCACTTCGGTCAACAACTAGCAAGAAAGATTTCTTGAAGTGTAATCAAACATGGAAGGGTAGACAACAAAATACATAAGATCACATCTTGCTTTAAAAATAGTATCGTATTTTAATTTTTATCTATATTATCAGAAGGAAACGCCATAAGGAGTAAGCATTTGTCTTAAGAAAACTAGGTTCAACATTAGATTCATATCACATTTAGTTCTATTGTCATTTGGATAAGACATCAAATCACACTAACCAAGAATCAACTTTAGCAAATAGAAATACAATAAAAAGGAATTATCACTTTAAAATATCATTTGTTAAACATTAGATCCATATCACAGTCATATCGCAGTCAATAATGATATCAGTCAAAAGCAATGAATAGTTAAAAAAACATCAAACAAACATGGTCTTACATAACAACAGTTAATTTGTGGATTCACTCTCACCGTCTGCTTCTCTCTCTTCAACGTCAAACAGCTGACTTTCCGCCACGTTATGGCCAAACACAGTAAGTTGACCCTCGCTGTCTTGCCCATGCCACTTGGCCAGTCGTCTGACGTAGACCCTGGCTGCTGCCTCGGCTTCCTCCTCAGTTCCTGCAACAGTGATCGGTATTGATAAATTGAACGAGCTCAACAAACTTTGTCACACCCCAGTGAGAGTGTCAAACCATAAGTGGCGGCAAGTCACAAGCAAACTAGTCCACTACAGTGTCAGTCCCTCCAGACATATTTGTTAAAATAAAAATAGAAAAATTAAAAATACAAATTGGACTTACCTCCAGCACCTAGTACCACAGCGAGCTGCTCCCTGTCGTCGCGTTCCAAGTAAATGATGTCACCACCAACGTAAACCCTACCATGGGCTTCGAAGTCTTCTACTGTGACTATGTAGCCATCCTCCATAAAGATTGCAGTAAGAACGATATCAGTCCAGTTGGCGTCTACTGAGTACTGGGTGGCCATTATAATATGGAATCAATGCTGATAATGAAGAATGAGGCAGAAGACAGCGACTAGATAGAAGACTTGCCCACAGTAAATTTCTTCATCAAGTAATGTCGCGATCAGCTGAGAGAAACTTTTTTGTGAGGTTGGGTGATCAGCTGATTGGGGGAAAGGAGGGGGCCGAGAGTAGCCAACCTCGGAATCAAAACAACGTATTTCTTCATCGGAAATAAAACGCCTCTGTTCAAGAACGCAGCGTGAAAATTATTTCTATTCGTAAAAATAGTAACGGTTTTCATTATTTATGTTTATAGGCTTTAGTAAACCCAAAATCTTGTTTCTTAGAGATTCATTTGTTTGTGTGTTGTTGGTAGTAAAAGGGTCGAGAAGGGCAGTCAGCTGTTGCTGTTGTTTCCGATCGCCGGACCGCCGGCCAGAACGTCGCGAAGTTGTCACTTTTGTCGGAGTCTCAAGATTTTAAGTGCCTGTTGAAAGTAGGTAAAGTACTCGGAAAGGCCCTGGATACCGTTCAACAGTAGCCGCACAGAGCTCTTCGTATTAATGTAAGTGGTTTTCCCGTTTCGTGAACTTAAATCGATGCATTCGGCCCGTCCCTGTTGCTGGCTCTACGTGCATTGCTAACCTCACTCTCTCAACTATCGGAAGCCTATATCTAGGCAATTCTCTGTTAGTTGCGTACTCAGCGATCATTACGTTCTTAGTACCCGTTCGATTTTAATTCGTAACTTCTCAATCAAGATTCAGCTCGTGACATGGCCCTAACCTCTGCATCTGTTTCAGTTCCACACTTCGAGTTTTGGTGAAAGTCATCATGCCGCTCATCCGAGTAGCCGCAGCCGACAAGAGTACATTTAAATTTGTCGTCGCTGAGACCTTGAGCCAGAGCATCGATGCCGCCATTTCCAAACTCGGTCTCCTGCGCGGCTCTGATTTTAAGGTAAGGAAGGCTTTATAATTTCTTTCTTTATTTCCATCAAGTACTGTTAGTAGTGTGATTTCATGACCACAATTTCCCATGCAGGTTTGCCTTGAAGATGGATGTGATGCAGGCGCTGAAATTGATTGTGAAGAAATCTTTCAAGAACTTCTTACTGATGCTGCAGCCAAAGGGAAGCGGCTCAGCATTTGTGTCCTTCCGGCCACTGATGTATGGAGATCTCCAGGTATGTGCTACTGCAGTTTATCGTTGTTGGTGACGGCAAAAGCTGTCATTTGAGGAACTTTATGCTTTTACGCAAATGCTTGAGTGGTTTCCTCAGATCAAGCATTTGAATTTTACAATAGCTAGCTGCTGTGCTGTCTCTTGTCCTTTTGTTTAGTTACTCTGCCCTGCCACTACTGGTATGGTTGTTGTAGTTTCTCTCTTGTATTCCACGTTCTATTATTCGCCTTGTTTTCAGGAAGCTCTTCTTCTGGTTCTGATAGTACTTCCTCGGGTTCTGAAAATTCGGACAGTGGAAGTTCTGGGTTATCAGGCTCTTCTGGCTCTATCAGTCCTATGGTTCCACTCCCAATGCAAGAGATTAATTTAGTTATGGAGCCAGTCATGAGTGAATTGGAAAAGCCCCCCTCAGAACAGTCACCAACCATCCAGAAGCTGAAGTACGATGCCATCAGAGCAACGTGCAAGATTGTTGCTAGTCACATCCTGCTTCGTGTGAAAGACTACCAGCGTTCTGTGGCAGTTCATTATGCCAAGTCAGTATTCTTCTATAAAAATAAATTGTACAAGAAAGTTTTAGAGCAAACCATCAACAACATTCCCTGTGGTGATGGGCTTGATGACTTTACTTTAAAAATCTACAATGCTGTTACTTATGGGAAGCCCTCTGAATGTAAGAAGAGACGAGGCAAGCGAGTTCGTGTTGTTGAATCTGACAATGAAGAAGCTGAAGATGACCCTATGCCTTTGCCCTCTGGAAACAGGAATGGCTATGATTATGGGTGTGTTGCTTACAACCCACCATTAAGTGAATCAGAAAATTTTGAAACTCAAGAGGAGAAGAGGAAACTTCTCATATCTCTCAACATTGGTGATGCTGAAGTTAAAGACTTATTTAGTGAGACATACCCATCCCAGCGGGCTGAAATTGTAGCTTGCAAACCTTTTCACAAACTTATCGATTTCTTTCCTCGTTGGCCTCTATTTTTAGAAGGTGTTTATTTAATCAATCATGCTGGAATCCTGTTGGGGAAGGATTTGCTTGACATTTGGAGCCGGCAACTTTCTGAGAGAGCTGGTCCCATGACCAAGTACTTTGAAGCATTGTCCTTGTCAGACAAGAATTTGAGCCAGGTGGCGAAGGCTAGAAGAGGAGCCAAGATGTGTGCTTTGCTAGCTGATGTTGACAAAGCATGCAACAACAGCCGCTCTCAGTTCTTTGTGAGCATTGGCATTTTTCCTCTCTTGGCGGAGTACTTCCACGAGAAGTTTGGTCTCATGACTCAAATTGTTCCTGTAAGTTTCTTATCTTTTACTTAATGGATTCTTCAATTTATAAGAAAGGGACTTGTAAATTTTTTTTATCTTGAATGCCTTATCTTCATGTGTGTTGTTCACATTGGCCTTGTCTTTTTTCAGTGTTTGGTAGTTCTAGCTATTCTTATTAATAGAAAAAATATACAAGTCACTTTCTGTTTTTATGGCTCTCCTGTGTGTAATCGGTGTCAACTAATCTTTTCCAGACTGGATCCACAGACGATGATGTTCTTCTGGCATCGAAATGTTCCAATGGAAACCCTATTATCATCGTTGAAGGTTTGACTTAGTTGTTTCTTTTTTTTTCCATTGGTTAACTTTTATGCACATGGTGACATGTTTTCTTTTTCTGTTCCAGGCCGCTCTTTGTTTGATGAGTCTGTGAATGTCTTTTTAATTATCAATAACAAGATCGTGATTAAGTGTGTTGACTACGCTTCTGCCGTGTTGGCTTTGTTTGTGTCATTTTATGTATTCGGATTTTGTTACACCAAAGAAATTCAATGTGTGTTAGAGTTTATTCAAAGGTTAGTATTCTTCTTTACTTCTTTGGTTAGTTTTATTTTATTTTATTTCCAAATGTTTTGCACTGTGGTGTTACTTGCTTGCACTGACTCATTTCATTTCTTTTACCAGGTTTCTATTAGACATAAACCCTGAGAAGGGAAATAAACGGAAAGGAGGGAAGCGGTATGTTGGTGACGTATGCCCCAAAGTGGTCAGGCTTTCAGAGGAACTACGCACCTTCTCCTCGCCATGGACCCTCGACATTTAACAGGTAAAGTAGCTTTGTAGTGAAGGGCCAAGCCCAGGGGGAGGCATGCGCATGTTTCCTACCCCTTGACTGAACTTTTTGAATCTAATCTCACTATCTTTTTCTTTCTAGATTTTACCCAAGACCATGCAGTGCACAGTGCTGCTGCTATTTTATCCATGACAAGTTCCCAGTGTTTGTTGCCAGGAGTAGCATAGTGGATTTTGCAACACTACAGAAAATCAATGCGTTTGAGTTCACCTAAAGGTTGGTATTCTTTCTTCAAGTTAAGTTTTATATTATTTCCAAATGTTTTGTACTGTGGTACTACCTGCTCACTCTAACTCATTTCATTTCTTCTATCAGGTTCCTAATTAAACATCAACCCTGAGGGCAACCCATCCAGCAAGGATGAAAGCTGTATTTTTTATGTTTAAGGTCATTATCTTTGTTATTATTCCAAAGATATTTTATTCTGATGTATACCTTATGTATTTAATGGAATCAATTTTTATGTGGTATTGTGTGAAAGGTATCTAAAGACATCATCTATATTTTATACCAAAGATATTTTTTATGTGGTATCGTGTGAAAGGTATCTAAAGTCATTATCTGTATTTTATTCCAAAGATGTTTTTTTTTCAATGTTTACTTTATGTATTTACTGAAATGAATTTTTATGTGGTATCGTGTGAAAGGTATGTGCAGTGTGATTTCTCGAAAGGTATTAAAGGATCAGTCACAGAATTCTGGCATTTATTTATTCATCCAATATTATTCTGAAATTTCATTCGCCTCAGAACTGAAATTTAATGACACTTCCTGAAAGATATCAAATTAAATTTAATGAACATTTAACTACTTTGACATCAAAGCTTGTAATGAAAGTTAATGACAGGAATGTAATGAAAAGTGTCATTACTTTGTCATTAAAGGATGTAATTAAAATTTTAATGACACGGAAGTAATGAAAAGTTTCATTACTTTGTCATTAAAAAATGTAATGAAAATGTTAATGACACAAAAGTTATGAAATTTTTAATTACATTGTAATGATTATAGCTTCACTACCATGTAATTAAAATGTAATTAAATTTTTTTAACAGTGGACCTACCGATTGGGTGAATAAAAATTTTTAGTGGGTCAGTCCCTTTTTTTGAAGACTGAGTGGGTTTGCTCGGAAACGGTGAGGGATTTTCAACTTTTGAAATTTTTCCCCATTTACCTATAAAATTTAGAATCGAATGGAAAAAACCGCAAGTCTCTACGATTACTCCTTGACCCCAAACATTTCTATGAGTGAGTCAGTGAGTGAGTCAGTCAGTCAGTCGGATTGGGGCTATATAGGTTCTTGACTGAGTTCACACTTCAGTTTGTAGAGTACCTGCAATGCTTCAGTCATATTGCGCCTTACGTGCAATGCGTCCTGCAAATGCCCTATGCTAATGCATTGGGATGGGGAGGCATTGCACTTCATGTGCAATGCTTTTACACTGTACCAATTGACGCTATACTCGTGGCGTTCGGGTTCTCAGTGTTAAAAGTGAAACCAGATAGCCTGCCTCGAATAGACCTTTCCGGGCTAAGCAACTTGTCCAGTATATTTGGATCTTTGCGCCGCCACACTTAAAGATCCAGCCCATTTGTGGTGAAACAGAATTGAACTCGGTGTCTACTGGAGTATCAACAACAGCGAGTTTAATGCCATTTCGCTGCAAATAGATTGGGTCTTACAGTGTGGCGGTGCAAAGATTTGGTTATGGCACAAGAAGCTTAGCCCGGAAAGGTCTTTCGGCATCACAAGGTAGGTTTACGCCCGACCGCGTCTCGTCCTAACAGGCTTCGCGATGTCTCGCGGCCTGTTCCTCCAATCCGCGCCTGGAGTACCTACCTTGGCCTGCGGCGCTAGCCTGCCTTCGGCAGGCAATGCTTGCCCATCATCAGTTACTTCTGATTTGTTGCATGCTGGGGGGCTCCACCCCCTAGACCCCCCTTCACTCTTTAAAAGTTGCTTCATCTACAAAGTACACGACCTTGACCCTTGTAGCTTTTCAACTTGTCAGGTTGGGGGGCAACATTAAGACACGTTGAAACGAATGTGACAAGATGTCACTTTCCTTTGAGCATTGTATCACATTCGTTACTACGTGAATGAGCTAATTTCTGGCTGATTTGCGTTTGAACGAATCCGACACAATGCTCAAAGGAACGTGACACTTTGTCACATTCATTTCAACTTGATGCCACGTTCCTGAATTGAGTGTGTATAATCATCCATCAGGTCTAAAGCCAAGAAGTTCTGGCAGGAAATGTAGATTGCAATTTCTGCAAAGTACGCACTGATTTTCTATGTGAAATAATGAACAGATTTAAAAAGCAACAACATTTTTATTGCAATAGTAGTGCCATCAAAAAGTTATTGCATTAAAAGTGCAATAATAATTGTACTGCATTAGCGAATTTTTAGCTTTTTCAGCGTAGTAATCATTTGATAGCACCAATCTGCGCTAATCTAGGCCCAAACAGGCCGAAACCTAACAGTCTTATTGCATTTTTAAACACTGTCAAAAAAATTAAGTACAATCGACTAATTGGTTTTGGTCATTCGAACTAAAACTAATTCTTAGTCGATTCAACCAAAATTTAGTTGAGTATAGTCGCTGCCCACCCTGCGAGGTCCGTCAAGATGCTGGGCTCGGCCGATCATCCTCCATCAAGTCGGTAGCGCCCAACGTCAGGGAGGTCGTTAGGTTTGGGTAGCATTGGTTGCACCATTTAATTCAAGAATAAGATCTGTCGAGAGTAGCGTATGATCTGTCGCGAGTAAAGTAAAATCTGCCGAGATCACACATATCTCTTCAGATGCGGAAGTGATAAAAAATATCTCAGACTTTGAATATGCGCCAAACAGCCAAAATGCTGAAACAAAAATTTTGACGGGTTCCTGTGATTTGACCCTTGAAGCAAAGACGTCCGGCTCTGGTTGAAAATAATAACAAACCTATCTTTTCGAAAGTCCTGCCGACCAGTTTCCCTCAGTCGAACAGTTTTTGAGAACGAGGTGGGTGGTCATGGCACCTCAGTGGTCAGTTCACCACTCTCCCTTACCTTCAGCTAAAGAGAAACCACAGTGTTTTCAAAAAAGATCCGAAACGAAAATGAAAATTCTAAAGCAAGCCTTAACATTTTTTAAAATCGTTTTTTTTTTTTTTTCAAAATAGGTTTTGGCGGTTTTTGAACAAGAAGCCAAACAGCTCTCAAAGTTGCATTGAAATCAAAGAGATCACTTGCAAAAGTATGGCGAACGAACACCAATGGAAGGAATTACGATACAAAGTTCTACTAATCTGTCAAGTCTCATCAAAATCCTATTGGAAGTTTCCGAATTTCATAAGGGGCCACATCGAAAAAAAATGTGTACCAGAAGATACTTACGGGCACTTCGTGCACGCCTGCCTAAACTAGGGGTACGCGCCGTTTAGTCTGGGCGCGTAGTGTGGCTGAGCGATGCGAATTGACATAGTTTGTGCACTTTGGACTTTGCTTGAGTAGACGAAATGTCCATCGTAAGGGCTCATATTCAGTGAACTTTAGACCAGGGGTCCAAATGGAAGTGATTTTCGTTATCAGAACACCAAAAACTGCTGGGATCAGTGTCAAACTCTATTTAAAAATTTTGGTCCAAAATTGGTCCAAATTCGGTTAAATGTGAGTCTGGGAAAAGTTTGAAGGTCATTTTTGAGTTCAGCACACCAAAAACTGCAGGAAACAATATAAAACTCGACATGAAATTTTTGGTCCAAAATGACCTAATATGGGATGAAAATATAGGTCTGGTGTTAAAATGGGAGTGATTTTTGTTATCAGCACTCAAAAAACTGCAAGAATCACTATACAATTAATTTTAAAAAATTTAACCAAAAATCGGTTAAATTTTGGGTCAGGGGACAATTTAGAGGTCAATATTGAGGTCAGCGCACTGAAAAATACAGGGAAACACATAAATCTCATCTTGGAAAGTTTGGCCCCAAATTACGTAGGATGCAATTGGATGAAAATGTAGGATTGGCGTTGAAATAAATGTAGTTTTTGTGACCAGTACACTGAAAACTACACACAATACTTTAGACTCAATTTCTGTATATTGTTTCTATTTGTCTTCATGAAGCACCCTCTGTCGTCACCAATTCCCTGATGGCACACCAAAGCGAATCCATCAGTCGAGTAAAATTCAAGTGCCAACATCCAATCGCTTTATTGGCTACTCGTATGCTTGGGTCACTATTCGATAACTATTTTTTCTTAACTTATGAACTCACAATTTTATAAGTAATAGTCATGAAACATTTTGTCAATCTTTCATTGTGAACCAGTGAATAAAACAATATTGATTGGAATATGTTATCACAGTTAATATTGAGAGAGTCAGTTTAGGGTAGGCTGATCTGAACCAGTTAGCGGGGACCAATTATTGTCAAATCCAGTGTTTCGTCACATAGAGTCCAATGCCAAGGCTACCCAAGGCTTAATGAACCGACATAATTTATCTTACTCATGTAAACAATACTAAGTAGTATCAGTTATATTAACTTTGGTGAAGTTAAAGGAATCGTCTCATTAAATCCCATCACTAATCATATATATAGTTGGTTGTCTATGCACTAATTGACTCACCGCTCAAAACCTGAGTCGTCTCTTTGAACCCAATATCAATTCAAACTCTATTAGGATTAAATATACACAACCATACATTGATTCTATTAATAAACACATGTTAGTGCTTTTGCACTCTTGTCAGCTTGCAGCATTGCAAAAGAATGCATTTCTCGAGTCCAAACTAAGTATGCCAGCCAATTTCAACACAAGTTATTTATGCATTTCCCTGATTTCCTCTAGTTTGAAAATTTTTAAAAGAGGATGACACTAAAATGAAATAAGAAGATGCACACAATACAAAAGGTCAAAATAAAAACATTCTTTTTACAATGCTTTGTCAAAGTGCACTGACCTGAAGATGATTCCCCTCTGACAGTGAGGGGGGAGAGGGGAACGAAACACGTAAATCATTTTCAAATCCATTCTCCATATTTCGCTGTGTTGGTGTTCCAAAAGGGTTTTAATCATTCTAGAATGTTGAAAAACTAAGGCCGATCTCATTTCCAAACCCTTCTGCTCGTTATTTTGTTTTATTTGCTTATTTGCTTCTGTCCCGTATTTGAGAGCAGCGGCCGCAGGTATGAGAAATTGGTGTGTGTGCTGCCAACCTGACCACGCTAATAACCTGATTCAAAAATATGTTTTGAATATTTCAAACGATACTAAACAACGATTTGGAACAAACTCGTGTTGGGGGGTGCTATGGCGACGTTAAATACGAAATCTTGAAACTATAGCCACTGTAGTTGCTGAGAATCGTTGGTGAGTACAAACAGACAGACAGACAGACAGATAGACAGACAGACGCACGACCAGTCACTTTTCAGCGCGCCCAAACACGGCAAGGGCTTCGCTATCGCTCAGCCAAAAACTGTTGGCAGGGAAAACTGACGAATGGAATAAGGAACAAGCGAATAATCTTTCTGACCTTTCCTTGCTTCATTTCTTTTATTGCACATCATAAAAGACCGTTCATGTTTTTATTTTGGACGGACTAGGCGGTGACGGGCATGGGCATGTAAACATTTAGGCACTCCTCAGCGAAGGCGACATCGTCAGCGGCAACGGGGACCTCGTAATTCTTGAGACAGTTGGTGATGCGGTCAACCTGTGACTCCTTGGTGTAGCCGCCCATCAGCTCCTTCCTGGCGTAGTCCTTGCAAACGTCGGAGGGCTGGTTGGAAAAGCCGGTCTGGGGCACGTGCGCCAAGCACGCATCAATGCGACCGAACAAGTCGACAAGCTGGGCGACAGTGTACCTGCTCTGCGTCTAGAAATTCCAAAAAGAAAGTAAAACATTGGAAACAATAGGCCCGGTTTTACAGGAAATTTCACGAAGAGGGCGCAGCACGTTATAGGTATGGTTGCAGTTATCACTGGGGTATAACGGGGGTCAAACTTACAGCCGACGCTGCCGCTACAAGGGCCAGAAAGAGGAAAAGGACGCGGGCCATGCTGCTGCAGTGTCGTTAGCGCTAAGACTGAAGCCAGAAGAGGCCCTCCTCGCTATTTAAGAGACTCGGAACCGCCATGCCACTTGGGCGAGTGTCGTCAGCCACGGCAGCTGGCATGACTGGGAGAATCCCTTTGGGTTTTCAACCACGAAAGCGTTTGTACATTATACTGTTTCGAGCACACCAATTGACGGTGAAAAATAAACACAGATCGAGGGCTGAATCACTCTGCGTTCTGGTGTACACATGAGTACATGTGTACGTGTGAGCGAGCGTGTGAGTACACGTTGCCTTACTCATAAATTTCACATTTGTAAACATTTTAAGGCTTTATTTAGTGTTTTAAATAGCACTCAACGCCAAATCGTTCGAAAAACTAGTGAATTTTGCCCTTATTGGCTGAGCGATAGCGAAGCCCTTGCCGTGTTTGGACGCTCCGAAAAGTGACTTGTCGTGCGTCAGAAGGCTCAAAACACTAAGTTTTCGGGTGCCATTCCTACTGTGATACGGCTAGTATTTTTGGCTGGCATGTTCATTTTCTTGAAGACTCAACCTTTTCGAATATCATCTCGCACAAATCCGATACAAAAATAAACTATGGAAAAAACTAGATTTTATGTCGATTTGGCGAATGTCAGCCCCATGAGAACTGTGCGCTGGGAGGCGAAGCTGGGCATGCGTCCTGTCGAACCAAAATGCTGGCGCAGCAAAGCGCAGCAAAGCGGAGCAAAGCGGAGCTGGTAACAAGGTTCGCGGAGGGGCGGGCCCCTCCGTGCTCCGGCAACCCGCAGGCTTGTTTTTACTGAACAAATTGCGCAACCTCTTGTTGCTGTGTGATATAGGTCGGCGTTTAAACTCAGAGCAGCTGTGTATGCATTGAAACCAACATTCTACTTGCTTTTAAGGCGCAGCACGTGCAGCCTAAACATGTGGGTTTGACCACTCAAAGTAACACCATTTTCTTAGAAATCAAATGAGCGTTTCTTTCCAAGATCTGCCAGTCTTTTCTGAGAGATAAGAGGACACCACTCCAGGGTGATTCCGTGCGTAAGGACCGTTTTTGCCACCTTAGAAAGTCACATAATCAATCTTGCTTGTTCGGCCTGAATTTTGCCTGGATGGCGTCAACACTGTTATTCAAATTGCGATAACCACCGTATATATTTTGCAATAAAAAACTTATCACATTTTTTTGCCATAATGACAACTAAATATCTGCAATAAAAAAATTATAGCTAAATTTTGCAATAAAGTATTGCATTTTTGCGATAATGACTACAAAGAAAATGCAATAAAAAGTTATCACAGAAAAAAATGTGATAAAAGTTACTACAAAACGCTCTATTATCGCAAAAATTATGGGGTGGTTATTGCAAAAAAAGTGCAATGAAAAAATTATCGCACTCCAGGATGCGATAAATCGTGGGAATCGCAAACTCGGTTTTATCGCAAAAATTTGTAGTAAAAGTATCGCAAAATGAATGACAGTGAATAGGTTAGGTTAGGTTATCCTGACCTGAGGCGTGAAACAGGCCGCCCACTGACTGTTTTTTAGCCTGAGTGGTACCTGACCACCTAATTTCGGTTTCCTTCTATTAACAGGGAATGCTAACTGCACTTGGTTCGAATTTCATACTATGTTAATAAAATGCTACAAAGAAATATTCATTGAGTATTTTACAGGCATCTCGAAATGAATGCGCGCGTACTTCGATCTCCACGCAGTAAAAGCATTTCTCGAGGGGGTATGCACTCGCGTAACAGTCGGTTCACTCTATCTGTAATAGCACGCGTAATAATACGCGTAATAGTCGCGTTATAGCAGAAATTGTCAAAATTTGGTCAATTTTGGTGTGTTTTAGGCAGTTTTTAGCTAAATTCCGATTAACTTGTGGCGTACTACAGCGTAATAGCGTAATAGTCGGTACACAGGTACAGAGAGCGCATATCCCCTCGGCATTTCTCTTCTCTTGGCGTCTTTTGCCGCAGTCGCGGCCGGGTGTTGCTCAAAGCGCGAGGTAAATTAGTGTTCCCCTATTAACAGAGAATGCTAACTGCACTCGGTTCGCATATCTTACTCTGCAAATAAAATGATTTTCTTTAAGTAACATCAAAGCCCTTTACCGTTTTAGCTCTTTGTGACAGCCGTTTGACCTTGACAGTGCACACTGTTATTTGCAAATGTGCGCGGGCCGTATGTTATTTGAATATTCCTGCCGGTAGAATGATTGTTAGGTCGGGTTTTCCTGACCTGAGGCGTGAAAAAGGCCGCCCACTGGCTGTTTTTTTAGCCTGAGTGGTACCTGACCGCCTGATTTCGGTTTCCTTCTATTAACAGAGAATGCTAACTGCACTTAGTTCAAATTTCATCCATTGCAAATAAAATGATTTTCTATAAGTATTAGTTCGACTTTTAAAATCTGCAAATAAAATTTTAGAAATGAATATTCATATAGTATTTTACAGGCATTTCCAAATTAATGCGCGCGATGTTTTTTACTTTCTGCAGTGAAAGAAGTTTCGTTCCTTTTTGCATTTTATTCAACGTGTCCAAATGCAATTTTTCTAAGTGTACGAATGTGTTCAATTAGAACATTTGTTACTAACAATGAAAGGCCGTCCGTCATTCGGAATATTTCATGTTATATGCTGTTTTTACGATATTCGTCCCGTTTGTACATCAATTCTAATTGCCTTTCGTCGTTGCCCTTCTTCTTCTTCTATTTGTCTGAATTTCTTCAATTTGAACATTTGTCATTAACAATTTATCAAGAATACTCCGCTATGTGCAGGCGCCGGAAATCAGTTTACTGTAAATAGGCATTTGCATTTAGAATTTATTTGGAGCCGTCCACGAGCAGCAGCAAGACTACCAGCAGCAGCCGCGAAAGCCAAAGAGATACGACGCCTAGAAGACGCCCCCGCGAGAATCAGGAACAATCCAGTGGTGAACCAGACCCAAAAAGAAGGAAAAAGGTTCGTTGTTTTCTCTAATGTTTGACCCTCACACACAGTGTCTCCTTGTCACTAACGCATGTCTACTCTTTCTTAAGCTTTGTTGGTTCCCAATCAGCTTGTTTTGTCCCCCGGACATTGGCGCTGCCAAATGGAATTGGAAAGTGTTTCTATCCTTGTCGTTTACATGTTGACAGGTCCTGGGGACGAAAGCACAACCGAATCCAGTTACAAAACTCATGAACCAGAACAAACATAAGGCAACCAAACCACAGGCAAGTAGCACCTTTCGTCTCGTCCTCTCCTGAGCATGATGTCGATTTCCATGCAGGACGTGCTCTAAACTCTGTTGCTCACCTGTTCACAGAATCAAGATGACGTTCCTTTTGAATTCGACGTGACAGACAAGCACTACCGGGAAACGCTGTTCCTTCCCCATCAGATCAGCAAGCAGGGCGTAAGTATTAACTCAACCCTTGCAATTTCTGTTCTCGTATTTCGTCATTTCCGGCTTGGATTTAGAGTCATTAAGCTGTCTTAAAAATTTTAGCTTTAATGTCTCCGTAATTGTTTGACCGTTCCAAATAATTTTGGCCTTGCCATACGCAGTTGTACAATCCAACCACCTGCTTATATTTTATTCCTTTTTGTGTCTAAAATATCTTTCTTTCTTCTCTTCGCAGGACTTTCGGATGACGGTAGAACATTCGTGCGTTTATGGGAAATGCGGAGCGTGGCAGAACCGGGCCGATGTCCTTCGTCATATACAAGAATTCCACTAAAAGGAGCTACGGGAGGAGGATTGCACTAAGGGAAGTGCAGAAGTTATAGCTCAGCGAAGATTCGAGAACCTTCACCGGGCCGGTGTTAGGACTGCCACACCTCGACGCCTCCTACGCCACTTCGACTGGGTTAAGGACCTGATTTCTTCCAGGGGCGGACTGGCCCGGGGTTGGTGGCGGGGAAATCCCCCCCGGGCCCTCCTGGTATACGGGCCCCCTTTTGACCAAAAAACACAAAGTATTGTCCAGTTAAGTAACTCCAGAGCATACTTCTGACTCGGAATTGCTTCAAAATAGATCAAAAGTATCGATATTAGTGTCAAAAGCTTAAAAATCTGTTATTGTTCATGAAAAACCCCTGAAAGATAGGCAAATTCGGGCCCCTCTGGCCTATTTCCCCCCCGGGCCCTTTAGGAGCCAGTCCGCCCCTGATTTCTTCAAAGTACCATAGCAGGCTGGATGACAGCATCGCCGCCGCGGCCGCAGAAATCAACGGCGTCTTGGGGGATGAGACCTTCCTAGAGCGCGACCACATTAGTGCTCTCAGGACGGCGACCAGAAACGCCAAACAGCATCTGAGAAAGTATGGAAAAACATCCGATGAGGCTTCTTTTTTGGAAAGATTTTAGAAGAAGGTCATGTAATTGTACTTGAACTTGTATTGTACTTGTAATTGTACTTGTAATTGAACTTGTAGCAAGAATTACTTACAAAATAATTTTATAAAATGAATCCTAAGTGTTGAAACATTTTTATTTTTTTCCCTGCACAGTCACTTTTCAAACACAAATCACAAAGGTTTGAACATTTTTACACGACAGAATGTCTTTAGGGAGAAGCCTTGACTTTACACTCTTGTACTTTAGTGGTGCACAGCAGCTTGTACAGTACAATTACAATTGTCGCACACAATATCTGTTGCAAACAGAGTTGGGACCACGTGTACGGCTTGGTGGGCGCATTGTAGTCACCAAATTTGTGAATAGGATTGTGTTTTGGTGTGAACGCATTAAGGCGCTTGCCCCCCTACCGGTCCCCGGCTACGACTAAAGGAACTTATTTCGTGTATTGACAGAGAGTCTTTTTCGCGAATACTCCATGCATTTTCGTTCAGATAGTGTAGCCTTTTCCCGAGAGATGGCACCACAGTCAGGTACTTCCAAAAAATAAAAAGGTCCTAGTTCTGGGTGGAAAGCCCTATACCTGCCGTGCATTCTGGCCAGTGACGGACAGCGCGGTGCGTTTTGGCAGTGTCGATGGCCAGACAGTGCGGCGACAGTGCGGCGCGGCCGTTGCAGCCCGGGCCACGCCGTGTGCCCAAACAGATGTCATTGTCTGTCTCTGTCTCATCCGCGCAGTGCAAGCGAGACGGCCGAGGCGGGGCATGGAGGGGGAAGCAGCGGCCGACTGGCGAGGCGCACGGCTCACCCTGGAGTCCGACGCGCACCAGTTTCAAAATTTAAAATTTGAATGTGAGTTCTGAGTTGTGGCGGTTGGGTACCAACAATTTCCTTTTCCTTTTCCGGTCATTTTGATACCAGTTCAACAACGAATTGCAATCGGAGTTAAAATTACCCCTACGACCTTTAAATCCTCGCATCTGACAGCTTAGATGAAATGTTACGCCCCTTTCCCCTAACGCGGCCCTTTTCGCCAAATTCTGGCCAGTGCCACGCGTTCAAATCGTGGGGAGCTCGTTCGTGGCCTGGCTGGATCGGACTCCGAGGCGGCCCGGCTCGCTGGGCAGGTCCTCGTCTGCAGCTCCGGCTTAGCGCGGGGGGAGCGGGGGAGGGGGGAGGCGGCGCAGACAATGCCCGGCTGCAGGTCAGCTGTCAATCATAAATGCGTCGCGCCGCACCGACCGGCCTGCACGGAGTTCCGATACCTGCCACCGCGCCACCTTCCAGAGCGCCGCCAGACGACCGCCAAATTCAAAAGGAGGAAAAGAACGGCGAAGTCGTCATGTTTTCTTGCAACGTTCTCTCAAAAAGTACGAACAGCAGAACAAATCGGAAGGCAGATTTGGAAAGGTGATAGAGAGGCGCGTTCAATGGTTTCCTGACTTTCCAAAACTTTTGTGATCATGTCGCTAAAATTTAGAGTGAAAAATAGACCATTTTCGGTGGCCTTTTTGGACCAAAAAATATTTGCGCACCACTTTTAGCTGGAAACCATTGAATAGGCACACATTTTATCTTTCAGAATCCGTAGTCAGATTTGATCTAAGTCTCTTCCTTCGGCCGTGAACGTTGCAAGAGTGGACCTAAATTTCGTACTTTTGAAGGTTCAAAATCATGGTTCAAAATTGAACCACCTAAATAAAAATTTAGGGAGTGCATCATGAATGTGTTCCAAACAAGTGTACCAAATTTGAGCCCAATCCGATGACTTGAAATTAGGGGGGCAATCGCCTTAAAATGTTAATACCATTCTTTGTACTTTCGAAAAGAATTTCCAATTCAAAGCTACATGTAAAGCACATGTCTTTTTGCCTACTAGAATTTTTGTACTTAAGGTCGTCCGGCGTTGCCCCATAGGTCGTCCGGAATTACCCCAGCCTGGGGCAATTCCGGACACGTGCAGGGCTTTTGTTAGGCGCCTATATCTCCCTAACCGTTGCTGAGATTTGGCTTTCATGTGTACCATTTTGAACATAAAGGTCCACACTTTACTCTCCTGTCATAACATTTAACCCAAGAAGCATATTCAAGCTCAAAGACCAAAAAGAAAAAAAGCGTTCGGCATTACCCCACTTTCCCTTAAGCGTGTCGCTGGGGACTTCCCTCTGGCCCAAGCTGCCTAGCCTAATCGCCGTGCCGACCTCTGTATGCCCTCTGCAGCGCATGGCACCCCCCGCTGCGGCTAGTGGAACAACACCCAGCCACGAGGACCAGGACGACGACGGTGTGCTGTCATCAGTACACGTTTCTGCCTTGGACTGAACGGATGCGTTGTCATTCTCCTTCGGATTTATCCAAATCCATCCTTACATCTGAAGCCTGAATTCCAGTGAACAATTCATGCAATATTCAATCCAACTCGGAACACATTAGCGGCAACGCTGCGTGACTTGGAAGGGGTACCGACCCCTGTTTCCATGCAGCGCAGAATCTCCCGGCTACCCCCACTCCTGTACCACCTCCATCCTTCGCGGCAACTGTTGCTTTTGGCGCGCTTTCGCAGTCTGACTGTCCCACCATCTCTTTGTCGCCAAGAGCCAGATTTGCACGGATTTCGGGTAAGTGCAGTTCTTCACACAATGGCCTTGCTTCTCTGAATTCAGACCCCACATCGATGTCGGTCACAAACGGTTTCCAAAGCAAGCTGCGGCTGCTCCCCATGGAATGAGTTCAATCCTTGGACGCCGAAGGCTTGGGGGTCCGCGTCACTCATGTACCCCGGCCTGGCCTTTCTTTTAGGATTCCTTCGTTCCATTTTTCCTGACACACAGCACACAGTAAAAAAAGATTCGCCGATTCGGTGACGTCTGGGCGCCAGAACATTACAAGAACAGCGACACCCTCAAACTGTTCTGGCGGCCCTCTGTTCGTTTCGGCGACGCTCGGTCTAGTTTCGGTGGCGCTCGGTCCGTTCCGGAGCAGCCACCTCCAAGGGGAAATAACTCTGAATTTCGGTGTACAAATGAATGAATTTCGTGAATTTCTTGAATTTCAGTAAATTTTGTAAATTTCATTGAATTTTTTTGAATTTCAGTGAATTTTTACGAATTTTGGTGAATTTTATGGGCATGGCTCACATGATATACGCACACTTGGCCGAAATTACCCCACAATTACTAATTCCTCATTTTTCTACCAAATGTGCCAAAATAGACGTATTTTCAGCTGATTTAACACGCTTGACCGAAATATTTCGATGAACTGTGCACAATAGGCTCGGAGCTAGATGAAATTTACGCTCGTTTGACCGAAAATGAACCTGCTTCACACTTTCGTACTTAGAGTTTTTTTAAATTCCAATTACATGTCGATGAGACGTGCAAAACTACCAAGTTAATATCAGTGTTTAATTTTAAATGAAAAATGTTACTTTATGTTCATTGCGTCAGACATGTACAAAGCCAGGGACTATCCTGCTCGATTGACCGAAATTAAATCATTTAATAAATAAAATAGAGAATTTAAAAAAATGTATTTTAAAATATTGTATTTTATTAAATATTTTATTTTGGAATGCGTGCTATTTTATCCAGGAGCACACCTAGAGTGCTTGGAGTGGCTCTCTAGGCACACCCCACCTGAAGTATCTCTGCGGGATGCTCATTTTCGCATACCACCGTGTGGGGTGTATGAGAAGTTTACTACACCGCTACACGGTGCGCGTAATCTCTTGTAGAGGCCACCGTAGCCTCGCTAAAGGTGAGCCACTTCAATTCTACAATTTGGCATAGACTATCAACTGTGAAACCGTCCACCTTGCGGGGGCTGAGGGGGCTGGTGCGGGTGTAGTAGGACAGAGCGCAGTGGCACCGCCTACAGTTTCAGAAGCAGCAAAACGTTAGGAAAAAACACCTACTTCTTTAGTCGCTTCATTGCCTCCAAAGAATTCACGTCCAAACTTGGAGGTAGTTCCAGACCGTGCAAACGGCGCCGCCCTTCTCGGGGAGAGTCGGCGGGTGGTGGCCGACGGCCGGCAGTTGGCAGCGAATGGCATGGCATGGGTACCCCATGGCATAGCTTTTACGCCGAGGCAAAGGGACTTGGCAAAAGTGTGACGGAAATCCAGTGCGACGGAGTGCGACAGCCGAGAAACCCAAGAAAGATGACCGCGCGCGGGGGAAGTCCGGCAGTAAGGCAGCGCGGCTTGCCGTCAGCCCGAGGACGCGCACGTGGTAAAGTCGCAAAGCTCGAGGGTCTCGACGTGGTCCTCGCTTTAGGCATCCACGCAGCTCGCCACGCCAAGGCCGTGTCGTGCACCTCGGTGTCGGAGAACCGATGCGACACGCACTAGGCACAGTGGCGTGCGCAGAAATTTAGAAAGGGGGGGTCAGGCCACGCTTTTTGCCTACTTACAGGGAAAAAGTGACGCAATTTGCCTACCTTCCAGGCGGCTGTCTAGTGGCCAAAGACCCCCCCCCCCCCCCCGCGCACGCCAGTGACTAGGCACCTCTCGAGGGGCACCC